CACACAACTCGGACTTTTCCTGTCCCTATCTACCAAGTCGTGTCTGGTCAGTCAAACTGTGCGTACGTGTTTTTATGCGCTCTTGCTGTCAGTGTCGATATCTCTGCGAGTTCTTGTGCGATTCTCACGATTTTTATACCATAGGAAGCAGCTTTTCAGCACAAATGGTGGTATAGGTTTCGTACCGATACGTTAAGTTCCGCGTTCGTAGTGACGATCGAAAGTGCGGTCATCGTCGAAATCGGCTTTTTCCGTGTTCCGCGCGATCGGCGAATCAATTAGATCGTGATTTCTCCGGTTTGGTTTGCTTTTCCGTCGAGGTGGTCACATCGTTGGATTCGTGTTTTGAATACGCTTCTAACGGTGTGTCACTCGGGGAGCTGCTGAGCTTTCTGGGGAAGTTCGCGCTTTTTTGGTTTTTCCCGGTTAGCGCCCGCGGTTCGCGTCCGATCACCCCGTTTTCTACACCGAACTGTTCGTCTCAACGAGGCGAAAATTTTGGTGTATTAAACGTCGATTTTGGTCCATTAGTTTCGGCAAGCGTAGCGTCGAAAGTTGTGCAGTGTTAAAACAGCGTTACCAAAACCGGTTTGGTGCGGTCCGCCGAGCGCGGTACCGGTATCCGGTCGTCCTTGGCACGCGCGCCGTCGTGCCCGCGCGCCGCTCGTTAAGGCCGCCCGTTGCTACGTCCGCCCGTTGCTAAGGCGAGCGTCGTCCGCCGTTGCCGTGTTGTGCCGCCGTTGACGCGCGCGCGTTCCGTTACGCGCGCCGCCGCGTAGTGCGTTGTGCCGCGCCGCCCGTTGCTAAGGCGAGCGTCGTCCGCCGTTGCCGTGTTGTGCCGCCGTTGACGCGCGCGCGTTCCGTTACGCGTGCCGCCGCGTAGTGCGTTTTGCCGCGCCGCCCGTTGCTACGGCCGCCCGTTGCCAAGGGGAGCGCCATTGCTGTACCTGATTGCAGTTGCCGCGTCGTGCCGCCGCTGCTGTGCTGTGCCGCCCGTTGCTACGCCCGCCCGTTGTCAAGGCGAGCGTCGTCGGTGGGTACACCGCCGCTTAGTGTGCGCGCGTGTCGCATTCAGTGGAGCGACCGCGACCTCCAGGGGTAAGAATCAAAGAATTTAGAATTAGTTTTAAGGCACCCGCTTGGGGGAACGCGGACAAGATGTCCGGCTGTTCGTCCGATTCGGAGTCTGTGGGCGCCGTTCAGAGAAATGAACGGCTCCTGCGGACAATCAAGAGAATGTCGCGGAAGAGGGCGTTGGTCTCTTCGGATGACGACGACGCTCCGCGGACCAAGAGGGTAGCGAGCCCGGTATCGGAGGGAGTGTCAGCACTCGCCGGTGATCGGGAAAAATGGCTAGGACTAGGTCGTGACATTAGGAAGAGGAAATTGGAGAGGATGTTTGAGGACTTTTGTAGACATTTTGGAGAAGTACGTGGAGCTGATGGACGAAGTGTTGAGGGAGAACGCCGGTTTGGAGGGAAGCTTGAGCGAGGCGAGGAGGGCGCTGGCTGAGCTGGAGAAAANAAAACCCCCCCCCCCCAGGCTCAGCCCCCCTCAAAAGGGACCCCCCACCGAGGCCGCCACCCCCCAAGAACGGCGCAAACGACCCGAGCTGGAGGAAGAGGGTGGAGGCGATGAAAGCCAAGGCTCCGGTCAAGGCTTTCGTCGTAAAGGTAGGCGAGGGCGGCGTCGAGGAGGCAAGAAAGAGCCTTTGGTCCGATCTGCTGAAGGGTCTCCCTGCCCCGAAGATCGCGAACACGGTGACCCTTCCACGCGGAGATATCCTGGTGAAACCGGTGGACGAGGGGACCTTCAGAGCGCTGAAGAGGATGGAGGACGAGGGAAAGGCAGTGAGGGAGGAATCGGCCAGACGGCCGATGATCCTGATGTATGACGTCGGCAGAGATATCGAGAAGGATAGGTTAGGGAAGCTTTTGGCGGAACAGAATCCGGATTTAGGTATCGGTGAGGAGACCGTGGTCCCCCTCTTCATGAAGGGGCCCAAGACGGGTGATTCAGTATGGTGGGTCTGCGCGGTCGCGCCAGACGCGTACCAAAAGGTCGTAGGTAAGCGTGTTTACTTAGGCATGTCGTGTTGTCGAGTTGAAGAATTTTCTGACGTGGTTAGGTGCTTCAAGTGCCAACGCTTTGGTCACCGCACGACTAAGTGCCCGGCGAGTTCGGACACCTGTGGCAAATGCGCAGAAGTTGGTCACCAAGCCAAGGACTGCAAGAGCAATGCCTCAAGGTGTGCCAACTGCCGGAAGGCAGCCCCATCGGCCCACGCAGAGTGCGCAGCCAAGCTCAGGGCGACGCTAAACGCGGCCCGTAGGACGGACTTCGGTAGGACTTCCAAATGAGTTCGGAATATTTTTCGGTGGCCCAGCTGAACT